CTCAGGAGTTTGAGACCAACCTGAGTAAGAGCGAGACCGTCCTCTACTAAAAATAGAAAGAAAATTATCGACAACTAAAAAATATACAGAAAAAATTAGCCGGGCATGGTGGCGCATGCCTGTAGTCCCAGCTACTCGGGAGGCTGAGGCAGAAGGATCGCGTTCAGCCCAGGAATTAGAGGTTGCTGTGAGCCTAGGCTGACGCCACGGGCACTCTAGCATGGGCAACAGAGCGAGACTCTGTCTCAAAAATAAAATAAATAAAATAATAATAGGCCGGGGCGCCGGTGGCTCACGCCTGTAATCCTAGCTCTCTGGGAGGCCGGAGGGCGGTGGATTGCTCGAGGTCAGGAGTTCGAAACCAGCCTGAGCAAGAGCGAGACCCCGTCTTCTATAAATAGAAAGAAATTAATTGGCCAACTAATATATATACAAAAAAAAAAATTAGCCGGGCATGGGTTGCGAATGCCTGTAGTCCTCTACTCGGGAGGCTGAGGCGGAGAGATGCTTGAGCAGGAGTTTGAGGGTGCATATGAGCTAGGCTAACGCCAGCCGCACTCACCCTAGCCCTGGGCAAAGCAAAGCAAGACTCGTGTCCACAAAATAAAATAAAATATAAATAAAATAAATAATAAAAATAAAAGATCCCTCTCACTCAGGTGTGCGATATTTTAGGGAAGCCATCCCAGCCTCTTCAGCCACTGCAGTGACTCAGAAGCTAGCAGTGGTCTAGATGCAAAGGAGTCGACAGACTTCAGCTATGTTATAGCAGATAAAATCGTTAGGACTAGATGCTGGATTCAATATTGAAATGCTCACACTGAGATGCTCGCCCCTAGTCAAGTCCCCTGAAGGCAGGGTCACATTGTATGACTGCAACATCCAGTCCCAGAATAGGCCTGCCACGTGGCAAACTCATACACATTTCCTGAAAGGGTGAAAATGATTTGCGGTCTCTCTGGTGATCCTTTCACCTGTAAAGATGTTTAATTCCTTCTTGCATGTGTCAATAACGGACCTGCACGGATACATCACAGGGAGAAATGGTCATTTCCAAAGAGTATACCTTGGGGCAAGTTAATACAAGAAATAAGGTCTCATCACGCTGTATCATGAAAGTGACAATACGCTCGATGCAAAGTGTTGCCCAAAGGAATAACTTGCCCCGAGAGGAACCTTCCCACAGGGTGAACGATGACAGTCCCTCTCAGTTGCCCAGGGCTGGGATGAAGAATGCCAATCTGGGAGGATTCCCTGGTTGACCCTGTTCAAAATCAGTTTCCTAGCACGTGACGAGGACATTAGAGCAAACCATTTTGCAAAAGAAGTGCACATTGCAGGACATACACTGCTTGTGGTGGCAACTCAGTACCTTGGCAGCACCGGGGGAAAGTTGTAAATTGGAAGAAATGGGTGGTCCCGGTCAGGGATGTCTGCACCTAAAAGTGTTTCTAAGTTGTCCTGAGGTCTGCCTTGAGCGTCTTGCCGCAACACAGCCCTGTTCTCCTTTCCCACTCTCTCCTCCAAACTCCCCTGGGCTCCTTCTCTGGTTCCCACCTCCTCCCTTCCCTCGCTTCCTTGGGCCCCATCGGCTTCCGCCTGTTTCATCCTTCAATGAGAGCCCAGTCCGCGCAGCTGGGAAGAGCAGGCTGCAGCTGGGGCTTTGTTCTTAGAGCTAAGTGCAAGAAGGGTTTTAGAAAGTACTGGTCCCGAGAACAGGCCTGGTGAGCCAGGAGTGGGCAAGGGATGGGGCATCATCAGATAGGGTGTGTGGGTGTGGCTTTAGCACCGGAAGGAAAGAAGGACCACCACGTCAAGTGAAACACGCTCTCAGTGCTCTCAAGCTTTCCTCATCACGCAAGAGCAACACGGGCTCCTCATCAACGCACGGCACGCGCCGTTGGACTGCCAGTGCGGCTGTGGGCGGGTGTCGCGCGGTGCGCCCCGCACCTAAGTGGTTAAGGAGGCTCCCAGCATTGCTCTGTGAGCCAGCCAATCACTCTGGCCCATGGTTACTTTACACCTCCCTGGTCCTTCACCTCTGAGGCTCTTCTCTCTGTCATGTCCCTCTCGGTTGATGATCACACTCTTATGTCACAGAGAAAACTGAAGGTCAGAAATGAACTCCGCCTGCCACCTGTTACCAAATCCACACCCCTGCCTGCATCTGTGCCCACTCTTTCTTGTTCCTTCATGTTAGAGCAGAGCAATGGTTCTCCAGCATGGGCGTGTAGCAGATTCGGTAGGTCAGGGTGGGAGGCAAGAATTTTCGTTTCTAACTAGTTTCCAGGTGGTGCTTGTGGCCGCTGCTGCGTGGACGCTGCTTTGAGAGGCGCTGGGGTAGAGGCTGCTGTCCTGCCCGGCCGGCCTCTCCGCGTCCGTCTCCTTCATCGCCTCTTTCATTTCTCCTGGATCTTAAACCTCTGCCTCTCAGAATAAAACTAACACTAAAACTAATCCCTCCTCTGCCCCATGTCCTTCTCTGACTGCTGCCACCGCTCTCAGCCCGCACAGCAGCGGCACTGCCAGCTCCCTCTCACGCAACTGGGACACAGCGTGTGTCTTGACCGGGTCCTGGCTTGAAACAAATCTGTGTACATGTAAGACAGTTTGGGGTTAATCGGGAGAATATTTGAGCATATTCTACATATCGGATAGTGTTAGGGACCGATTGCTATTTTCTTATCATGGTACTGTGGTTACGCAGGAGAAAGTCCGTGTTCGGGGAGGTACACACTAAGTGCTTGGGTGTGACGCACATGTTCCCCTACATTTTCACGCGGTTCAACAACTATATGTAAATATGTAGTTGTATATTTGTGTGTATAAATCTTTGTAAGTGTAAATAACAATTGTTAAATCTAAGTAAAGTGGTGGATAAAAAATGATATTTTCAATTTTTCTGTTCCTTTGAAATTTTTCATAAAAAGTTGGGCAAACTTCTCTCTCTGTTTCCTCACTTCTACTCAGTGCTCAGTCCTTTCGGGCTGGTGTTCTCTCTACCATGCTACTCAAATGTTTTTGCAGTGAACTTCATGTCATTAAATCCATTTTTTAATTTTCCTCTTACTTGAATTGCCACTAGTATTCAACATTGTTGACCAGTTCTTTCTTTCTTTTCTCCTTTTTTTTACTTTATTTTTTGTTTGTTTTTTTTCTTTTTGACTGAATACCTTCCTTTGATCTTTTCTCCTTTTCTTTCTTTCTTTTTTAAGACATTCACCATAGACACCAAACAGACCCCCTGTCGTAGCAAGAGGCTGACCAGTTGTTCTTAACACACTGTATTCCTCTGGCCTCTAGGACTGGGTCTCTGCTGGTTTCCTCCAACCCCTGCAGCTGCTCTTTCATGCCTCTGTTGGCTCGCTCTGCTCTTTAACTGAACTGAACTGGCCATGTTGGAGTTCGCCAAGAGTGCCAGTCCTGAACCTCCTCTTTTCATGCTATATTCACCCTCCAGGGGATTACACCTGGCCCATGGCTTCAGTTCTATCACTAATTACTCTCAAATTTATGTCTTTCCTCTAATCTCCAGACTTGTAGCATATCCGACTGCCTACCTGGCATTGCTACTTGGATGTCTCAAAGGTACTACAAACAGCATATTCAAAACAGAAATTCTGATCTTCTCCTACAAGCAATATCATCCTCTGATCTGGACCACAGGGGCCCTGCCCTGGCCCACATGCGTTAGGGGGATTTACCTATCACAAACAACATATCGCACACAACATTTGTTAAATGACACCTGTATACCTCTGTCATTTGGGATCTTCCCCCAGTGCTGGCACAGTGCAACCTGAAACCCGAAATGTCTGCTTATGTAATTAATTTTGTGGAGGCCCCAGGGAGATGCTTCTGCAATCTCTTGCCCTGTATCCTAGAAACAAAAGATGCTACAGCCGAATTCTGTGTAAGTCTGAGGCTGCGCTTCTGCTGGGTCCCGAGGCACATGCTGCTTTGGAGTGTACGGAGGATTTAAGCAGTGGAGCCACTTAGGTAAGAGAAAATACAGCTGAATTAACTTGTCAAATATTACCTCTCAAACAGCATAATAAAGTATAATTTCCCAACAGTGTTGAGTGTCTGTTTTTCTTCTCTTTGTGTTCTAGAGGTATCATGATTCCTGGTGTGCTACATTCACAGCAGTTGGAAATGATAGTTGAGGAACATTTTTCAATATTAAACGATTCTTATTACTGATAAATTTGCACATATGCAGGTCTAGACATAACTTGTGTGAGGTATGATTTTTTTTGTAGTTGAAAAGTCAATTCATAAAACTTTTATTCTACTTATATGAACTTAATATATGTGTTCTTAACAATTATGCTTGGATTGTTCATGAAAATCTCATGAGACATTTAAACAAAGCTAGCCATCATCTCAAATTATTTTCCTGTTAACTATTTTTTACAGCACATGCATGTTAGGCAAGTATCAAAAAAAATCACAAAAGCAAAAAACCTTAAAAAAGTTAAATACATGGGTTTTTTGTGTTACTGCTGTGCTTGATATACACTCAGTAATGGATGCCGAGCAATTCACTTTACTGCATCTTTACTCTTACATTTGTTCTTAGGTTGCCTAAAACATTTAAATACAAATAAAAAGAGTGTAGCAAAATAATGAAAGCAGACAGCAGGTAACTTTACAAAAAATTGAATGTGAACCATTTCTGCCCTTATCCACAGTTTTGTCTGAAGGAACACTTCTGCAGCTGCAGTCAAAGGTGTGCACGTTGAGACTGAGTGTGCCACAGGTACACATGGTTTCACATGTAGTATCCATGACATGTCTGTTTCTGCCACAGCCTTATAAGTGCTCCAAACCTTAAAGTACCCACAATAACTACACCTGTGACCGGAACCAATTGTCCCTTTTATCCCCCACCAGGACAAACCAATATGTAGGCAGTTTTCTTTGCTTAGACATGGAAGCAGTTTTAACACTGGCCCTTGTGAAGCCACAATATACCAAAAGTAGTATGCCAAGTATTGTATAAAACTTGTATAAAAATTCCACATCCCCATACTGGCCACCTCAAGATGAAAACAGATAACTCCCTAAATGTTAACTGGCTCTACTCCCCCAATATTAAACATAAAAACCACATGGGAAATATAGAAACTCAAATAGAAGTAACATAAACCTGTCATAAATCGTAAACAAAAAACTATTTGTGGGACAGCATGGATGACAAAATGGTCTACTGTGTAAATTTTAGAATGAGGCAGACAAAAGTTGGAAGGCCGGTTAATTTTCCCCTCCTCTCCTGCTTCAGCTTCACCTCCTTGGGTATCCGATGTCCACAATGTCAAGTTGTCTCTCAGCAACTGCATTATTAGCGTGCTGTCTTTGTATGACTCTTCACTTAATATATCAAGTTCAGCGATGGCTTCATCAAAAGCTGTTTTTGCAAGAGAGCAGGCTTTCTCTGGGGAGTTCAGAATCTCATAATAGAACACAGAGAAGTTAAGGGCAGACCCCATCTGGTAGGATGTGTTGGCTGCATTTCCTTTTTGCTGATTTCAAAAGCTTCTTGGTATGCTTGTCGTGACGGATCCACAATCCCTTTCTTGTCATCACCAGCAGCAACCTCAGCCCAGTAACGGAAATAGTCTCCTTTCATTTTCAAATAGACGACTTTGCCCTCTGCTTGTGAAGCATTGGGGATCAAGAACTTTTCCAAAAGAGACAGTACATCATTGCGGATATCTCTTAGCTCGGTCTCAATTTTCTCTCTGTATTCTCAAGCCATCTGCTGTTTTTTCTCGGCACCTCCCGTCTTTTGCTCAATACTTGAGACGACCCTCCAAGACGACCTGCGGGCTCCTGCAACACTCGTATAAGCCACTGAGAGAAGAGGAGAGAGCCTCTCCTCACTGGACAGTTCGGCTCCTTGCTCAGCTACAGACTTCATGCAGGCCGCCGTGTCATTGTATGGTTCAGCCTGCTCGGCCAGTTTGGCCTTCTGCACCAGCCCGTCTGTACCCACGGCTGGATGTTGTGTGTCCGGAGTGGCGGCGGCCAAGGAGGGACGGGGCTCAGCAGGCTCTGGGCGGCGGCGATGCCGGGACTCTGTCCCTGGATCCCGATGCTCACAGGCTGCAGCCGCTCCTGAGGTACGATATTGATCACCCGTGTTAGTGACTGGACACTGAATACTAGACTATGAATACTGTCCTCCCTCGGCATCCAGTGGGGGCTGGTTCCAGGAACCCCACAGACGCCAAAATCCACAAATGCTCAACTCCCTTCTATGTTAATAAAATGTTGTAGTGTGTGCGTGCAACTTACACACATCCTCCTATGCACTTCAAATCATCTCTAGATTTCTTATAATAGCTGATACAATGTAAATACTATATAAATAGTTGTCATGCTGTATTTTTTATTTGTATTTTTTAAAATTATTGTATTGTTATTTTTTATTGTTATATCTTTTAAAAATATTTTCAATTTGTGGTTGGTTGAATCCATGGATGTAGAACTGAAGATATGGAGGGCCAACTGCAGTTTAATTTTTATAAAACTATTATCTTAGTTTATGCAGACTGCTGTAACAACATACCTTAGACTGGATAATTTATAAACAATAGAAACAGAAATAGTTCTGGAAAGTCCAAGATGAAGGTGCCAGCAGCTTCAGCACCTAGTGAGGGCTCATTTTCTGCTTCATAGATGGTGTCTTCTTGCTGCACCCGTATAGCCTCTTTTATAAGGGCACTAATCCCAACCACGAGGGCTCCACCCTCAGACCTAATCACCTCCCAAAGCCCCAGACTCTTCATACCACCATATCAAGGATTAGGTATCAATTTATGAATTTTGAGGGGGCACATTCATGCCATAGCAATGTTTAATAATATCTAATAGGTTGGGTGCAGTGGATATCACCTGTAATCTTAGCACTCCGGGATTGCTTGAGGTCAGGAGTTGAAGACCAGCCTGAAGAAGCACAAGATCCAACTCTACTAAAAATAGAAAAATTAGCTGGGTGTGGTGGTGTGTGCCTGTAGTCCCAGCTGCTCAGGAGGCTGAGGCAGGAGAATCAATTGAGCCCAGGAATTGGAGGTTGCAGTGAGCTATGATGATACCACTGCACTCTAGCTGGGGCCGCAGAGTGAGACTCTTTCTCAAAAAAATAAATTCTGTAAGTCCCGCCCGTTGTGGATCACGCCGTAATCCTAGCACGTCTCGAGGCTGAAGCGGCCCGATTGCTCAAGGTCAGGGTTCGAAACGCAGGGCCTGAGCGAGACCCTCGTCTGTAATAAGTTAGAAAGGAAGCTGTAGGTTGCAACTGACTATAATATAGAAAAAAAACAAAATTAGCCGGCAATGGGTGGGCATGCCTGTAGCCAGCGTTCTCGGGAGGCTGGAGCAGGGATCGCGTTGAGCCAGGCGATTTGAGGTTGCTGTGAGCTATGCCTGACGCCATGGCACTCACTCTAGTCTGGGCAACAAGAGTGAGACTCTGTCTCAAAAATAAATAAATAAATAAATAAATAAATAGAATAAAGTAAACTTAAATTAATTAATAAATAATACATCTAGGCGGGCGCGAGTTGGCTCACGCCTGTAAATTAGCACTCTGGAGGCTTCGAGGTGTGTCGGATTGCTTGAGGTCAAGGAGTTTGAAACCAGCCTGACAAGAGCGAGACCCCACTTCTCTATATAAATAGAAAAAAGAAATTAATTGGCCAACTAAATATTAGAGAAAAAATTAGCGGGTCCATGGGTGGAATGCCTGTAGTCCGCTACTTGGGAGGTGGTGAGGCAGAAGGTTGCTGGAGCAGGTGTTTCGAGGTTGCTGTGGAGCTAGGCTGACGCCACAGCACTCACTCTAGCGGCCTTGGGCAACCAAAGTGGACTCTTCTCAAAAAAAAAAAAAAAATAGTGAGTATATCAGTATCTAATAAAATTTCAAAAACAAGCAAAAGTGCAGCCTTGGTTGCTTAATTTGAACTTTAGTATATTTCTATTGTTTTTTTGAACAAGGTACTCTGTTCCAGGCTAGTGCATGGGTACCTGGTCACAGCAAACTGAAACTCCTGGACTCACAGCGCTTTGCTCACCGCCTCATCGACAGCCAGGTGGACTACGGCATGCACCACCAGCCCAGCTATTTTTTTTAATTATTTTTAATTTTTTTTTGTTTTTTTTTTGGTTGTCAATTAATTTCTTTCTAATTTAGTATTGGAGATAGTGGTCACTCGCTCTTTCGTGTTGTTTCCAATCCTACTTGAACAATCTTTCCTCAGGCCTTTCCTCAAGTTGAGTGGCTAGTGTTTATGTGTGTTTGTGTTTTGCCTATTGTGGTTGTTTATATTTGTATAATTTTTTTCTTTTCTTTTTTTGAGAAGAAGTCTCGGCTTGTGTTGCCTAGGTAGAGTGGATGCCGTGGAGTCAGCCTAGCGTCACAGCAAACTAACTCTGGGTCAAGCATCCTATGCTCAGCTCCGATTTTGCTTTTTTTTTCTACGAGGCAGAGCACCAGTTGTTGCCGGCTAATTTTTTCTAGTATATTACTTCACGATTAGTTTCTTTTCACGTTATAGTAGAGACGGTCTCGCTGTTGCTCAGCGGTTTGTTGGAACTTTTTTATCCGCGAGCAGCCGCACGCTCGGCCTCCAGAAGAGCTAGGATTACAGGCGTGAGCCACTGCGCCCGGCCTGTTTTTTATCTTTTAATTTCAATAGATAATTTTGAATGTTTTACAAAAGAATAACTGATAAATATACATAAAATGATTTTAAGTTTTTAAAATTTACATACTTTGGTGAAAATACATTAAATGTTATATACTATGTCTCCAATTATATTTTATTTTTAAATCCTAAATCATTGAGAATGAGCACAAATTGAGATATGATGGAAACAGTTATAAATGTAGAACACAAAAAAGTAAGCTGCATGTAGAAAATAAATAGAATGTCCTTAGGGAAGCTGTCTACCTAAATTTTTAAAAACTGAACAAAGAGTACAAATGGAGGCGACATATATCCTCATTGCTTTGATTAGTAATTGAATCAATATAGAATATAAATCTACATGGGTTTAATGATTAACAAACCATAAAAATAAAGCTAAATGGGTTTTATCTGACCTATTCAACTTGTATATTGTCTAAAATAATCGCTTTTATTATCTTTTTGAACTATTTGAAATACTTTAAAAAATGGATTTTACAGAAAAACTGGAATTTCCCATTTCTCATGGCAATGCCAGCTCTGAATCCCTACATGGAACACCAGACCAAGAGCTGCTGCCCTCCAGGAGGGGAGGGTGCTCTCTAGTCTGTTGCAACTTTAGGTCGGCAGCTCAGCACACTACCTGCCTGGCCCTTACAGGAATTTGAGTTTGCAAACTGATCTTTGAAGGAAGAGTCTGGGTCTTTTCAGTTACTGGGCACTTTCATTGCCAAGTGGGTTTTTATGAGATTTAAAAAGTTGAGATTAAAAAAGAATTCAGGCCAGGCATGGTGGCTCACATCTATAATCCTATAGCACTCTGGGAGGCCAAGGCGGGAGGATTGCTTGAGGCCAGGAGTTAGAGACCAGCCTGAGCAAGAGTGAGACCCCAAGCCTCTACCAAAAAATAGGAAAATTAGTTGGGCATAGTGGCTCCTATCTCTACTCCTAGCTACTTGGGAGGTTTAGGTGGGAGGATTGCTTGAGGCCAGGAGTTCGAGGCTGCAGTGAGTTATGACCTGGACGACAGAGTGATACCGTCACCTCCACTCTCCTGTCTGTTTCTAAAGGAACAAACAATAATAGTAACAATAGCAACAACAACAAACAATAATAGTCTTCTAGAGTAGTTACTCCAAGCCAGATACGGTTCTAAAACAATTTACATGAACTTATTTAATTCTCACCACAATGCTATGAGGTAGGAGGCACTTTTAATATACACATTTTATAGATGAGGAAATTGAAGCATATAGTGATTAAGATTATCAGGTATAAATGATCAGGGAACTCAGATCTCTCCGTCTACACAGCCACCATCATTGTACTCTTCTAAAGAGATTGGCAAGGGGAAGGAGGGTCAAAAACCCACCTAACGGGTACAGTGAACACTATTTGGGTGATGGGCACATTTATAGCCCTGACTCAAGCCATATATAAAAAACATCTGTACCCCTTTAATATTTTGAAATTAAAAAATAAAGTATACATAACAATATTTGTACCCCCATAATATGATGCAATTTTTTAAAAAGGAAAAAAAACACATAAAGTATACAAAAAAAAAAAGAGAGATTGGCAACGAACTTTCACTTAGCACTGTCACATTTATTAGCTCATTTAATCATCACAATAACCCAGTTGAACAAATACCCACCTTTGCATCACATCTTTTGCTTTGTATCTCTTTTTCTTTAAAAATTGAAAGAAAAAAAAGCATTACAGATTTGGCTAAAGCCCATACCATTTCTGTCCTTCTTTGTGATAATAATCATTGTTCTGAAGTTGTTGGGAAATATTCCTACACATATTTTGTACTTTTAATAAACATGTTTATTTTCCTAAACAACAAATGCCACTGTTTTGTGTATTTAATTTAATTAATTTATTTATTTTTTGAGACAGAGTCTCACTCTGTTGCCTGGTTAGAGTGCAGTGGCGTCAGCCTACTGTGTTTCCTCGAAAATAAGGCAGGGTCTTATATGTATTTTTCCTCAAGAAGACACCCTAGGGCTTATTTTCAGGGGATGTGTTATTTTCCCCTCAAAGCCTCAGCTTGCAGCACGCACAGGATGGCCGGGACCTGACATGAGGAGCCGACGACCTTGTTGGTGGGGCTGCCCACAGCTTTCTGGTCACCTCTGGGATAGTAACTGTCACGACGGGGCAGATGAGAAGGGCTGCTCGTCTTCTTTACAGCATCACAACGAAATGCATGGGTTGTGCAGGTGCGCTGCGTAGCCAC